GCGGGACTCAATCCCAGGACCCCGGGATCATGACCTGAGCCGAAGGCAGATGCTTAACGACTGAGCCACAGGTGCCCCTGGTTTTTGTTTTTTAAGCACAATATTTTGTCACGGCTAGAAGTGCAGGATGGTGACAGTCGGGCTTGGTGTAGCCCGAACCCCATGGCTCCCCCGGAAGGCGGATGCCCCATCCCTGGAGGCTTTCAGCTTCCCTCTGCCTCCATAGCACCATGACCTGACTCAGCAGGGGCTTGGCTAGGCCAGAGGGAGGGGCCCCGGAACCAAGGACATGCGGCTAGTGGACCCACGCTGCTGGGAAGGGCCCTGACCCACCTGCCCCTGAGTCGCCCTAGTGGCTGACACTCCCCCCCCCCCGCCCGCCCCCCCGCTTGGGTGCAGTCTGCTGTGCCAGCTCCTGCTCAGGGCTTTCCCCAGGCCGGATAAACCAGCGCAGTGAGGGCAGAAGAGCAACCTGTGCCCCAGGCCAAACTCCAGGTCCAGGGGCTCGGGTCCGCCGGCCAGGCCTCCCGGAGCTGCCACCCAGAGATCTGCCCACTGGATCAGCCCTTTCGCACCTGCCTGAGAGAGTGATGCGTGAGTCCCCGGGAATCTGGAGTCCTCTGCCCAAAAGACAGCTCGGTCCACATTCCGCCCATGCGGGTGAGGGAATTAACAACCCGTGGTGAGGTTTGGGTGCAGGACTGGACTGGGTGCTCTTAGCAAGACGGTTGGGGTGGGGCGGGTGATGGTTGCAGGCAGAGGAGGGCAAGAGGGGCAGCTGAGGAGCCCCGGGTTGACCAAAGGTGAGGCTGTTGTGCTTTTTGGCTCATCGCCGCGGAAGCTGGCAACAGGCCTCCGTCAATTGTAACCAAAAAGGAGTCAGAGGTTGGCAGCTGCGCCCCACCCAAGACCTGGGTGAGGGCGAGGTGTGGTCACCCGACAAGCCAGGGAGTGAAGTTAATTGGCCGTCGCAGGTGCGCGCAGTCCAGTGACCCCTCTCACCTGCCCCTGGCTTTTCTTACTCACCTCTGCTCGGGCCAGAATCTCCCTTTCCTCCTCTGCCTGTTTCAGCCCCTCCTGTCCACCCGAGTCCGGCTCTGAGCTCAGCTCACATGGTGAAGTCTGAGCCCCCTCCCCCGCCCCTGCTCTCACCCACCCTGCCCTCCTCTGAGCTCATCCCCACAGCAATCCGTCCTCGGGATTTTTGGGGGCCTAGCATGTACTGCCTTGGGTTTGTCTTCAAGCCTGCGCAAGGTAACTTGAGTAATGGGACCTTTTTTAAAAAACCGAATTCACCAGGTTTGATATCTCAGATGAGTGTGGGTGGCCCCGTGCAAGCGTATACCCATTTCATTTCTGTTTTTATTTTGCAGAGCATTTTAGGGGCTCTTAGGTAATGCTGAACGCAGGACATACAGGCGGAGGTCTCATTTCCAAAACTTGGCCCTAAGATTACTGTCAGTGAAACATAAAGGAGAATTTGCTTACAAGGGAGGAGATCAGCCACCTGAGGAGGTGAGTCGCCTAAGACAGAGTCCTGTAAATGTGTGAAGACATCGGGGGAACTCCTGGCCAATGAAGGGTTCTAGGGCTTTAGCTCCAGGTAGATTAAGGTGGATCCCAGGAATCTGCATTTCAAACTAGTATCCCATCAAACTGACGCAGGAGGTGCCAATCACCCCTGAGAAGCTTGGGGTCCTCTCTGAGAGGTGTGGCTGGAAGGTGATGGATATAGCTGCGCAAGCTGGAACCGGTCTGAAGAAAGGAAGGAAGCATCAAAAGGTGAGGTGCCCTCAGACGTTGTGGGTGGGAATGAAAAACAGTGCCACCACTGTGGAAATCAGTCGGATGGTCCCCCCCCAATTGAAAGGTAGACATTTCTATAGGACCCAGCAATTCCACTCCTAGGTACATCTACTCAAAGAAACTGAAAACAGGTACTGCGCATGTTTGCAGCAGTACTGTTCTCAGTGGTCAAAAGGTGGAAATAAACCGAGTGTCCACGGATGGAAGAATGGGTAAACAATATGTGTGCCAACCATACCCTGCATATCATTCAGCCATAAGCAGGAATGAAGTACTGTTGGGTGATACAGCGTGGATGCACCTTGAAAACATTATACTCAGTGAAAGCAACCAGACGCAAAAGGTGACATATCGTGATCCCACTTGTATAAAATACCCAGAGGAGATAAACCCATGGAGATGGCAAGAAGAGTGGTGGTTGCCAGGGGCTGGGGGTGAGGAGGGCCTGGGAGTAACTGCTTAATGCGTACAGGGTTTTCTTTTAGGGTGATGAAAATGTCTTTTGGTTGTTGCTAACATTGTGAGTGTACTAAATGCCACTGAATTGTTCACTTTATTTATTTATTTAAAAAAGGTTTTATTTATTTATTTGACAGAGAGAGACAGCGAGGGAACCCAAGCAGGGGGAGTGGGAGAGGGAGAAGCAGGCTTCCCGCTGAGCAGGGAGCCCGATGCGGGGCTCGATCCCAGGACCCCAGGATCATCACCTGAGCCAAAGGCAGACGCTTAATGACTGAGCCACCCAGGCGCCCCTGAATTGTTCACTTTAAAACGATTGATTGTATGTTCTGTGAATTTCACCCCAATATAAGAAAAAGGGGGAAAAAGACAAGGTGGTTAGGAGGGAAAGTGCCCAGGATCAAGGAGGCGGCAGGATTCTCCAGCACTGCCTGGGGGAAACGAGTCATGTGATTCACCGCGAACTGAAACCCTGTGCTTCTAAACACACACACATACACATTCTTCATGGAAAATGTATGCCTTTTTGTTGGCATTAGAGGACTGGGTTCTTGGATAAATGCTCCGTGTGCAGCAAGACACAGAAGCTGGGGGCACCTGGGTGGCTCAGTTGGTTAAGCAACTGCCTTCGGCTCAGGTCATGGTCCTGGAGTCCCGGGATCGAGTCCCGCATCGGGCTCCCTGCTCGGCGGGGAGTCTGCTCCTCCCTCTGACCCTCCCCCCTCTCATGCTCTCTCTGTCTCTCTCTCTAATAAATAAATAAATAAATCTTAAAAAAAAAAAAACCCTGGAAATAGCTTGCATGCATAAGAGTAGAGGATTGGTAAACTAATTTCTAATACATCTATAAAACAGAATGTTACACAGTCATTAGAAATGTTGACAAAGATGTATATTTATTCACTTGGAGGTGTTAAGTAAACAATATGAAATAAGTTAGAAAAGAAGGTATATTCCAAAATATTAAAAGTGATCATCTCTGGGCAGAATACTGGTATTCATAAAATTAACTACTCTGAGGGGCTTGTAAGTTACAAATTCCTGAGCCCCCACCACTCAAGAGATTCGCCAGAGATTCCCCAGAGATTCCCCTTCCGTCTCCCCCACTCGACCCCAAACACACGTACCCACCTAGGCTAATTGTGATGCATAGCCTGGTTCCAACCTTGGACCCCTTTGAGAATCTGATATAAACCGTAGATCCTCTCTTAAAACACAAATGGACATCGCTTCTCGGCCTTTTGGCTAAGATCAAGTGAAAACACAAATGGACACACCAAGTCTTGGCTATAACTTGTGGATGGAAGGGGGTCATCCATGACTCCAGTTAAGAACCTCTAATGTAGAATGACAGAGATCAACCACTTCATTTTCCTCTTCTTTTTTTCCTTATTAGACCCCCTGTTCCCAACTCCCTAAGTGAGAATCTCTGCCAAGTGGCACAGGTCCTTGGGCCACTGCCAAGGTCAGAGCACATCCCTTTTGTGTGTTTTTGTCGGGACCACTGGTGCCATCCAGAGGGGGTCCGCTCGTGCGATGTGCAAGCAGCGGGTCGGCCCCCTGGTGTTCCTGAGGCCTGCTTGAGAACTTGCCTGTGCTGCCTGCCTTCTCTTCCTGCATCCTCACTGTGATCTTTGCAGGACAGGACTTGGGGTGCAAGCTTTACCCCCACCTCTCTGCTTCTGGTCCTGAGAAGGCAAGCCGCCTAGCTGGCGCATGAGTCTGATGAAGCTAGCCCCAGAGTTTTGATGACCCCTCTTGTAAACATCAACACCACAAGCCCCTCCATGTATGCTGATCTGGGTCCCTACAATGAGATGGGAAACATTCCCTACAATATAAATGGAAATACGGTCAAAGCTGTGGATTACATGTTTTAAGGTCCCCAAGAATATTTTATTAACAGATCTCATGAGGAGAGCTCTTTTTCTGTGTCCCTCTGAAAGTCATGGACTGCTTGGGCAGTGGATGGTCCCATGGCTTCGAAGAGAAAAAAGGCCATCGGGAAGTGTCAGGTCCATTCGGGCCCAGAGGAGTGGGGAGCACGACCAACGGCCTCGGCCACCAGGTGGCGTCCCTGGCCGGCCTTGGAGGTGCAGCTCAGCCCAGGAAGCCAAATGTCTGTGGTGCTTGCGCTCCTTCCTTCAGGCCTCAGAAAGCACGTAACACACACTGGCCAATCCTTTCCCCAAGAGGACACCTGTCACCTGTGAGCACGAGTGCCCTGCGATCTCCACTGCCCTCCCCCCCTACCACCTGCCTCTGTGCCCAGCCCCCACCCAGAGGGGCGCCTTGTTTCCCAGCCCCTGGTCACCGCTCCTGCCCTCCCCTTCCTCCTCTCCTCTGGGGTTTAGAGCGCAGCCACCAGGCAGGATGAACCAGGGCACCATGGCGTAGGGCACGAGAGAGTTTTCTTAGCCCTGGCATAATAAAAAGAAAACCCAAACACTTTTCTTTCTTTTAATACCTAAGAGTAAAAAATAGAAAAAATCCCAAACCCAACAACCCAAACAATCCATTTGAAAGTTGCTGCCATGCCTGGTCTCAGGTCCCCTTTCCAGGGCTGTTCTGCAGGAGCAGCACCTGCTGGGCCCTGGGTCCTGGGGAGGCCCTGGGGCAGCCGGAAACCATCCGGCCTTTATCCCATACAACCAGGACCCAGCGTTTCAGAAAGGCCACCAGGACTGTTTTTTAAAAAATGTGGTTGCAACCACGAGGAAGTTTTCCCTTGAGGCTGAGCTGAAGGTTATTTCTTGTGGAGAAACTTCATTTTGTTGCCTAAAAAAAAGAAAATGAGAACATGTCACCAGGCAGACAAAAGTGAAATCCTACCCTTTTCAACCCGGACATGGTGGGGGTGACTGCGGCCTCCCAGGCCACCTCTGGAGCCTCTGCTCACGCAACCTCCCCAACGCAAAGGGATCTTGCTCGGACGTGGGCAGTTTTGAAAGGAAGCGTGTCAGAGCTGTAGAGGAGTGTTTGCTCCTGAAACGGTGACACAGGGAGCACTGAATGTAACATGTCCCTGAGGAGCCACATGAGGAGAAAACCCCCAGCAGCACGGGCGGGTAGGAGGGCCTCCCCAGGAAACCAGCCGTCCTGCGGAAGGCACGGTATTGGCCCACTTGCACCTCCCCCTGGGCGCCTCATCACCCTCGATTAAACCGAAGCCCTAATTCTTTTGGTTTTTGTTTTTTAATTTTTATTTATTTTTTTAAGTAATCTCTACACCTGGGCGCCTGGGTGGCTCAGTTGGTTAAGCGACTGCCTTCGGCTCAGGTCATGGTCCTGGAGTCCGGGGATCAAGTCCCACGTCGGGCTCCCTGCTCAGCAGGGAGTCTGCTTCTCCCTCTGACCCTCCCCCGTCTCATGCTCTCTCTCTCTCTCTCATTCTCTCTCTCTCAAATAAATAAAATCTTTAAAAAAAAAAAAGTAATCTCTACACCTAACATGGGGCTTGAACTCACAACCCCTGAGATCAAGAGTGGCGCGTTCCATGGACCGAGCCAGCTTGGCGCCCGAACGTCCTCATAATTCTTACATTTCCACTAATTTGTTTTTTTTTTTTAAAGATTTTATTTATTTATTTATTTGAGAGAGCGAGAATGAGAGAGAGAGAGAGAGAGAGAGAGAGAGAGCGCGCGCGCGCACATGAGAGGGGGGAGGGTCAGAGGGAGAAGCAGACCCCCCGCTGAGCAGGGAGCCCGATGCGGGACTCGATCCTGGGACTCCAGGATCATGACCTGAGCCGAAGGCAGTCGCTTAACCAACTGAGCCACCCAGGCGCCCCATTTCCACTAATTTGGAGGCTGCTCCAGGTCTTCACTACCAGACACCCTTCTTCGGTTCCCCTCATGCTTCCTAAGTTCAATTGCCCAGAAGGCTGAAGAGTGTGGGAGAGAAGAGTGAGGAATAGAGCAGGGCGGCCCGGGGGCCGGTGAGGCAGGGAGGGGTGCTTTGTTTCCCTTGTCTATCCTCTGGGGCCGGATCAGAACAGGAGCCTACAAGGCCGCAGTGCACCGAGCATTATTTGGCACCTGCCCCAGTGGAGGGAACCGAACGAGACTCGAGACCCGGGGGAACCAGAGGCTGGTGATGGGGACCGAGACCGCCGGGCCTTACCGAGTCCCTTCAGGAACTTATTGACGCCGCTGTGTTCTCCACTGGGGAGTGTTTCTAGGTACTCTTGGGCTCGGACCTCAAACAGACCTGTCAGCAAGAGAAATCCCAGCCATTTTAGTTCCTTCTCTCTCTCTTCTTAACATATCCATTTCCTTACTGCCATAAAAAAGAAACCTTGCTTCTGAGACGAGCTGCTCCTATAAACATGCTCTGAATCATAAGGTTTATAAGGGTTTTTATTGCCCTTATAATTGCCCGACCTTGTGCAATAACTATCTTCGGGAGGCTGTAAAGCTAGATCATACATGAAATCCTATTTTTATTCAACAAACACCTTCCAAGTGTCTATACTGTGCCAGGCACGTGGTTTCAAAGATGAACCAGACCGCCCTGGCTTTCAGACTCCTGTAGTCTCCCCTTTCCTCATATTCTCCCCTAAGAGGAATGCCGGCCAAGTGGTTTAGCTTCCAGGGAATCTGTCTGCCATCTGTCGGCTCAGGAAGGCCAGACAGGGCACCGCAAAGGGGCCTTCGCCTCTAGCCTCAAGGTGTGAGCTTCAGGCATTGTCTTCCTCCTCTCACTGATCTTCTCTGGACAGAGGACGCCTCCCATGCCACTTTTAAGCTTTTGTGTCTCGACCTTTCTATCAAATAGTGATCTGTAAGCAGATGATCTGGTTAGCAGAGCTTCTATTTCAAGGAATCCTGTCGTCAGGAGTGTGACTCCAACACTAATCAATTTCCTTGTGTCTCTTCAGATACCATTCATCAGAATACCTGATGTGTGGCCATTCTGTCTCTACTTTGCAAAGAGCTCCAGGCATGTGGGGCTTTGGTTCCTTCACCCAGGCTGGGCCATCACAGCACCAGAGGACACGGAGGCCTGGGGCCAGAGGCTGTTCCAGGGCCCTCGCTGCCCTCCGTCTTCACTGGCCCGGCTTCTCCGTGGTGTCTCTCCCCCACCCAGGTCTAATTCCCGTCAGTGACTGTCTTTGCCAACATTGCTAGCTTTCCGATTCCCAAAAGGACTTACTATGATGCAAGAAAGAGAGGGGAGTGATTTGATCCTCCCTCACATGCTCCCCCTCCTAAGCCCTGGAAGTGTGATGGAACCCAGCCAGAGGGGACAGGGAAAGGGAGGAGAGAGAGTGCAGGAGGCCAGGCTCCATGGTGAGATGACCCACAAGCTCCCCAAGTTGGGGAGTCTCTGCTGTCCTACCTCCGGTGCTGCGGCCGATCAGGCTGAATGTGAGGAGGCGCTCACACAAAGTGGGGGGCACGGCCAGCCTCTTTCCCCCTGTCCCCCGCCAGCCGGCTCCTGCCTGCTGGTGCCACACCTCGGGGGACTGGGAGGGAAGAAGGGCAGAAGGAAGGAGAGGCCTGAAGAAGAGGAGAGGAGGGGCCGGCGAGAGACAGGAAAGCATGTTCTGGAGAGTTTCATCAAGTGGGAAAGATGGAACCCAAGGAGAACCTGCTGCCCGAACCTGGAACGTGGTTCTGGGAGAGGCTGTGAGCGGGGACGAGATGGCCAGAGCAGACAGGCCGACTCTGGGGCAGTGTGACCAGCTCCGAGGCGCCAAGATGGAGCGTCCCCGGAGGAGGCCACACAGTCCCTCCCACCCGTGCCCTGGCCCCACAACCTTCCTCCCCACTCCTCTGCCTCTGCCGGCCTGGGCGTCTCTAGCTGCCTCGGCCCCCGGCACGGAAGGTGCCCCCTAACCTCTGGCATCCTGCCGGCGCAGCTCCCGCTCCTGGATGAAGCCCCGAAAGGTCTGGGTCTCCATGAAAACCTCCAGGAAGCGGCGGAGGCTCTTGGAGGAGACGGCTTTGCGGAAGGCCTCTCGCTGCAGGGTCCTCTCCTCGCGCTCGCCCGCCGTCAGGAACAGGGAGTAGTGGCCCACGATCTCCACGAAGAAGCGGACGAAGGCTTCGGACACCACCTCGTTCAAGGGGCTGGACTGGGGGCCTGAGCAAAGTGGGGACGGGGCCGGCACCAGTGAGGGCGGGGGCAGAGCCCGAAACAGCCCCGCGGGCGCAAGTAAGGACTAGAGCCGATCATCATTCTCCGAGACCAAGGTTACCCGGAGGGACGAAGTCATTTCTTTCTCCCCTTTAATTGGGTATTTTAGGGCCAAACTGGGGGAGGTGGGAAAAATTTTCTCACAATTCATTGTTAGCATGAGATCCAGATCAAGGGGTTACACACCCAGTTTCTCTCTTTGCACGCCCCTCTGGCCACTTTTCCTACTTAACTCAATGCCACGTGGAAGGGCTGGTCACCTGCCCACTCGCTGCCCGACTCTAATGATGGAAGAGGGAGATGGAGGTGGCTGAGCTCTTACCATGCTTGCAGTCTGGGGGCCCTTCATCCTGGTCACTAGCCAGGTCATTCCTCTGCTCCAGAATGTGCTCCAGGGCCACCTGAAGCTTCCTGGGGAGGATGGAATCCTCGTCATCCATCTGTAAAGCAGAGACAGCAGGTGGGCTGGTGCCCCAGTGCCTCTGGGGATGAGAGCGGCATCCTGGCCCGCAGGTGACACTGGATACACTGCAGGGCAATCCTGGCACAGTTTTTGGATTAGTGGAAGAAACATGATTTATTTTCTCATTTTTATTTTTTTTAAAGATTTTATTTATACATTTGACAGACAGAGAGAGCAAGCACAAATAGGGTGAGTGGCAGAGGGAGAGGGAGAAGCAGGCTCCCCACTGAGCTGGGAGCCCGATGCGGGGCTCAATCCCAGGACCTGGGATCATGACCTGAGCCAAAGGCAGAGGCTCAACCGACTGAGCCACCCAGGTGCCCCAAGAAACATGATTTAGAGATAGAGATCTGAGGTTTGAATCTTGATTCCATGTGCTTTTTTTTTAAAGTTTTATTTATTTAATTAACCTCTACACCCCACCGGGAGCTCAAACTCCCAACCCTGAGATTAAGAATTGCATGCTTTTCCAACTGAGCCAGCCAGGTGCTCCTCTTGATTCCACTTTTTACAAGCGATATGAGCCTCAGTTTCCCCACTTGTAAAATGGGGGTACCAATCAATATCTACTTCATTGTGAAGATTAAATGGGCTATAGAAGACATGGATGAAAGAATTTGAAAGAGATATAAAGAAATGGAAAGGTATTCTGTATTCACAGATTGGAAAAATCAATATTGTTAACATGTCCATTTTACCCAAAGCCATCTATAGATTCAGTGCAATCCCTACCAAGACTGCAATGGCATTTTTTATAGAAATAGAAAAAACAATCCTAAAATTCACATGGAACCATAAAAGACACTGAATAGCCAAAGCAATCCTGAGAAAAAAGAACAAAGCTGGAGGCATCACAATTCCTGATTTCAAGCTTTATTAACAAAGCTGTAGTAATCAAAGCAGTCTGGTAGTGGCATGAAAACAGACACACAGACCAATGAATGGAACAGAATCAAGAGCCCAGAAATCAACCCATGCATATATGGTCAACTAATATTTGACAAAGGAGCTAAGAATTCAATGGGGGAGGGGCGCCTGGGTGGCTCAGTTGGTTAAGCGACTGCCTTCGGCTCAGGTCATGATCCTGGAGTCCTGGAATCGAGTCCCGCATCAGGTTCCCTGCTCAGCAGGGAGTCTGCTTCTCCCTCTGATCCTTCCCCTTCTCATGCTCTCTCTCTCTATCTCATTCTCTCTCTCAAATAAATAAATAAAATCTTTAAAAAAAAAAAAGAATTCAATGGGGGAAATGATGGCCTTTTCAATAAATGGTGCCAGGAAATTCATGCAAAGGTATGACATTGGACCCCTATCTTACACCACTCACAAAAATTAACATGAAATGGATTAAAGACTTAAAGATTAGACCTGAAATTAAAACTACTAGAAATAAATAGGGAAAAAGCTCCTTGACATTGGTCTTGGCAATGCTTTTTGGATATGACACCAAAAGCTACAAGCAACAAGAGCAAAAATAAGCATGGACTACATCACACTAAAAAGCTTCCGTACAGTGAAAAAAATGAACAGTAATAGTTGTACACTTACGCACTGCTGGTGGGAATGTGAATTAGTGCAGCTGCAATGGAAAACAGTATGGAGGTTCATCTACCATATGATTCAGTAATTCCACTTCTGGGTATATGTCTGAAGGAAATGAAGTCACCATCTTTCCTTTTTTTGCTTCTTAGAGAAAGAGCATGAGCGTGAGCAGGGGGGAAGGGCAGAGGGAGAGGGAGAGAATCTTAAGCAGGCTCCATGCCAGGCTCGGAGCCTGACGTGGGGCTTGATCTCACAACCCTGAGATCAGGACCTGAGCCGAAATCAAGAGTTGGACACCTACCCGACTGAGCCACCCCTGAAATCACTATCTTGAAGAGATATCTGCACCCCCTTGCTCATTGCAGCACTATTCACAAAGGCCAAGACATATAAACAACCTAAGTGTTCATTCACGGGTGAATGAATAAAGAAAATAAGATTTTGTGTGTGTGTGTGTGTGTGTGTGTGTGTACATACACACAATGGAATGTATATACACGTATAATGGAATATTAGTCAGTTATAAAAGAGAAGGAAATCCTGCCTTTTATGACAACATGGATGGACCCTGAGGGCATTATGCTTAGTGAAATGAGTCAGAGAAATACAAATGCTGTATGTTCTCACTTATATGTGAAATCTAAAAAAAGCTGGATTCACAGAATTAGAGTAGAATGGTGGTTGCCAGGAGCTAGGAGGTGGGGGAAATGGGTAAGTGTGGTCAAAGTGTGCAAACTTCAGGTTATAAGATAAATGGGTTCTGGGAATCTAACGCACAGCATGGTGACTATAGTTAACAATACTCTATTGTATACTTGAAAGTTGTTAAAAGAGTAGGTCTCAAATGCTATCAGCACACACACAAAAAAGGTAATTAATTATCTGAGGGGATAGAAGTGTCAACTAATCTTATTGTGATAATCATTTCACAGTACATCATCATGTTGTACATCGTAAACTCATATATATGTCAGTAATATTTCAATAAAGCTGGGTGGAAAAATTAAAAATGCAGTACAATTACTTTGTAAAAGTGCTTGGCACCTAGTGGATTGTCAACAAATGTCCCCCACGGCCCCCACCCCGTAAGATGGCTAGTGTTAAGCAGGGACTCTGGTCAGGGCAGATGACCAGTGTGATCATGGACTTCGGAGCAGGAGGGCCCTGGGGAAGGGCAAGTAGACAGAAGTAATGATTCAAAAGAGAACAAAACATTAACATGACAGAACTTTTCAGCAGTATGGCAACTCCAAGTTTAAAAGCAATCCATGGGAATGCCTGGAAAACCTTTCTGTAATGAATTTTTCCAAGATCTGTTAGGACTTAGCCCTCTTTGGCAAGTGATAACGAGAAAATAAATGTGTAGGGGCGCCTGGGTGGTTCAGTCTTTAAGTGTCTGCCTTCGGTTCAGGTCATGATCCCGGGGTCCTGGGATCGAGCCCCGCACTGGCCTCCCTGCTCTGCGGGAAGCCTGCTTCTCCCTCTCCCGCTCCCCCTGCTTGTGTTCCCTCTCTTGCTATGTCTCTGTCAAATAAATAAATAAAATCTTAAAAAAAAAAAAAAGAAAAGAAATGTGTAGGGCGCCTGGGTGGCTCAGCTGGTTAAGCATCTGCCTTTGGCTCAGGTCATGGTCCCGGGGTCCTGCTGGGCGGGGTGTCTGCTTCTCCCTCTGCCCCTTCCTCTTGCTTGCTTGCACACATGAACCTGCTCTCTCCCTCTCTCTCTCTCTCTCTCATGTTCTCTCTCACTCTCTCTCTCTCTCAAATAATAAAATCTTTTAAAGATTTTACTTATTTGACAGAGAGAGACATAGCAAGAGAGGGAACACAAGCAGGGGGAGTGGGAGAGGGAGAAGCAGGCTTCCCACCGAGCAGGGAGCCCCATGCGGGGCTCAATCCCAGGACCCTGGGATCATGACCTGAGCCAAAGGCAGACGCTTAATGACTGAGCCACCCAGGAGTCCGACCTTTCAACTTTTTTTAGAGGCGCGCGCACGCACACACACACATGCTGACCCTAAAACAACACAGATTTGAACTGTGCAGGGCCAGTTATAGGCAGATTTTTTTTCAATAAGTCCACTACAGTCCTATAAGTGTATTTTCTCTTCCTTATGATTTTCTTTTCTCCAGCTTAACTTATTGTAAGAATATGGCACATAATACCTATAACATACAAAATATGTGTTAATTGACTGTCAACAATAATGCTTTTGACCAACAGTAGGGCTATTGGTAACTAAGTTGCTGGTGAGTCAAAAATTACGCACAGACTTTTAACTACGAAGGGGGTGGGCACCCCTAACCCCTGCGCTGTTTAAGGGCCAACTGTGTTTCTTTCTTTCTCTTTCTCCTTTTAATAAGAAAAAAAAAGATCAGGACAATAATGTATATAATCTTGTGTCCTGATTTTTTCCACTTGATTTTATATTCTGAACTTTGTTAACAGTTATTTTTTGAAAACATTTAAAAAAGACAAGTGTTTATAGTTATAACCTATACAAAGCTTCTAATTGTTAGAAAAGCATATTGTGATAAAACACATGGGACGCAATGCTTTGCCAAACCTTTGCTCTTTGGCCCCTGCCTTCTCTCCTGTTCTCAGTCCAGGCCTGGCCGGGGATCGCCCAAGCCCACTGACCTGTTTCGCAATCCCAGGCCCACCAAAGAGCCTTTCCAGGCCTGGAAAGCTGTGTTTCCAACAACGGAGAGGTGAAGACAGAGAAGCGGGTTGTTGCCTTTTTACTCACCTGTCTGAGGAACCGATTGTTGACGAGGTCGACCACAAGGACCTGCAAGATGAGGGAAAGGGACGATTCCTGTCACCAGAGCTTCCGGGATATAGTGATAGACTCTTAGCCTTCCTCGTCCTTGGCATCCAGACAGGCAGCTGGGGTGGGGGTGGCGTGGCCCATTTGTGGTTTCCTGACGTTGCCACTCTAGCCACAAATGATGAAGGGGGGAGTAGGGGGTGGGGAAGGGCTTTCCAGAATTGCATGCTTTCAACACCGAAACCACAGGCTGGGACATGTGTATACCACAGACTGGACTCCCTGCCCTGTTCCGAGACTGACGCAGAGCCTCTGGGACAGACTTTTAGTGTGTGGGTTGGTGGGTGAAAGAGGCTGGAGGACCCCTCCTTGTTTCCATTCCATTCAAGTCTGCATTCCCCACTCCCAGGGCTCTCTCTCCTCCCAGCTACCCACTTGGCCTTGCCATTTCTCTTAATGGGATAGGAGGAGAGAAATCCAGAAGAGTAGATCCAACTGGAGAATGAGTCGAGCTGCAGGTGCTGGGCTTTCATTAATCGAAGTTTTTAGGATAAGCACCTTCCCCTTCTCTCCTCAGAGTGGGGCTGAGACCCAGGGCCAGATGTAGGGGGAGGCAAGTGAGCTGCCTAGGGCACATGGTCAGGAAAATGCTGGGTGTCTGCCCGCATGACCCTGGCCAGCATGGGCCCACTGGCTGTGATGGAGGAAGAGCATGGGCCTGCATGGCCACCATGTTTTCACCAACAGCTGGAAACACAGGCATCCACATAATACATCCCAGAGACCCTGCCCAGGAGCTGAGGGGGCTCTCTTCTTCCTTCTCAAACACACGTATGGGGTCGAACTGAGCCATTTCGGGGATCACAGGGTACCCAGACAAATTCCTTGAGGTTTGAAACCTACACTCAAAGACCTGTGTGTGCTGGTGAATACTTCACGGGACTTCAGGCCTCTCTGGGCAATTAAAGGAGCCACATCTGGGGGCCTGGGATGAATTTCAGGGACAGGCGTTCCCCTGGGGGTTCAGAAGTGAGTGGTATCATTTAGGCCCCCCCAGTTTCCTCACTGACGGCTGGGAGCAATCAGTACAGGGGACAGAGATTATTTAGAGGCAGGGACTGGGGCTAAAGACCCACCGAAATGCCAGGGAGGACTCTCCCTACTTGGGGGCAAACCTGAAAACCCAGAAGTGCATCACTGAGAACATTTTGGTGGTTGTCTTTTTAACTGATGTGAAAAAGGACCTGTTTGCAGGAGCACAGCCTTGTCAGCTCTGTTATTAGTCATGATATAAATTCCAGCTCTCGTTAGTTCCTGTGTGCTTTCTTCCTCGGTGCCGGAGAGAGGGAGGAGGGAAGGATAGGGTGGGTGGCTACTTATGGATCAAGTGTTTTAGCATCTGGCAAAATTGTAGATCGCTGCCCTTCAGGCCAGTGGGTTCATTTAGAGAAAACCGAATTTGCAGTCACCAAGGGCCTACTGAGGCAGGCTGGGGGTTTGTATCTAATAGACAAAACTGCAGGGTCCCCCACCCCTCGACGTTGCACGCTTGCAGTGCCTCAGCCAGGACCTCCCCTCTGTCCTCTGGCCCCCCACAGGGAGGAAACAGGGACGTCCCCAGTGCTTACCTCTTCCAGTGGCAGCTCCCGGAGCAGCGGCAGCGAGCTGGTGAGCAGCCCGATGAGGAAGGGGGTTGGTGAGCACACGATGTCGATCATGGCGGGCGGCAGCACAGGGATGTAGGTGTGCTGCCAGGTGAAGGGGTAGATGACAGCCACCATGGCGTGGCAGCACTTGGACAGCGTGCTGCAGCAGAAGGGGGAGAAGGGGAGAAGGGGCAGATTCAGGGGCTCTGGACTGGGCCTGCTCAGGCTCACAGGGTGGGCAGCCTCCATGGAGGAGGCTGGAGAGAAACGCAGACACTCCATCCCAAGGGCGTGTTGGTCAGAAAAGGCGTCACGCACCTATTAGGCACACTGTGTAACAGTCTGAACACAGATTATACCAGGCACGTGGGGCCTGTGTGAGGCTTTGAGACACAGCTAGAAGGATGAATTTAATGCCTCAGATAATTTTTGCTAGTGTGCCTTCACATGCGAGTTACATTCTCGTAAGGTCTTGACCAAATCATTCAATTCCACCCCTCTTCCCCAAACGCTTCCGAGTCAACGAAAGCCTCTTTCCTCATGGATGCTCACGAATTTCTCATACTGAAGATGCTTTTATATTTCTAAACTAGCTTTCTCTTTGTTCTCTTCCACACACTCGCTCAGCCAAGCACGAATACCTAGGTGCAATCACGGGAAACAGGGTAACTCCTCTGGTATTCACGTGGTCAGCAGTCAGCTCCCAGGCTCTGTTGTGTAAACATGAAACTCGTGTACAGTTGCCCCTTACCCAGAATTCAAAACTTGAAAAAAAAAAAAACAAAACACTGGGAGTCTCCCTTAAAGAACTGTGATCATGGTACAGCCTTTATCGGCAAGCCCTGAGCTCCGGTGATCACTGTTCCCAGGGCTCTGTGCAGAGCCTGAGTTCATGAGTGGATGAATGGGGGGATTACCCGGGACTATCATCTGGGATACCAGCCCCACCGTGCTGCAGACAGGGGTGCCCGGCAGCCTCCCACAGTGAGCAAGAGCCAACCTTCTCTTCTTCCCTGCAGTTTCTTCTTTCTTCACCAGCCTGCTGGTGAGCAGACCCTCTCTGCTCTCATTCTACTGTGCTGTTTCCAAAATGCCATGGGATTCGAAACTTCAGAAGCTTGTTAGAAATACATGTAATGTAAGAATAAAATAAAAGTGAGGGCCCATGGTTTCTCCCGTGAACGTACTGCATCCTCCTCAGGGCACAGGCCCTGTAACCAGCAATGCCTTTGTTAGGCCACCTTCTGAATATTTGCCCTGGCTCTCAGCTGTGCTCTGTTAGGCATAGTTTAAGGAAGCTGAGTTCTCCATAGATGAATGCTCCCTTACTGGATTCCCACTGATGTCAGGCACCTATGCAGGCATACTTTGGAGTTCTGTACCAGACCACCACAATCAAGCAAATGTCTCAAAAAAAGGCAGTCAAATGAATTTTTTTGTTTCCCAGTGCATATAAAAATTATGTTTATACTATACTGTATGCAAGTGTGCAATAGCATTATGTCTAAAAAAATAATGTACATAATTTAATTAAAAAGTAGTTTATGCTAAAAAATGCTAACCATCATCTGAGCTTTCAGTGAGTCATAATCACCAGTCACAGATGACCATAACATAATAATAATGAAAAATATTGTGAGACATTACCAAAATGGGACACAGAGCCACAAAGTGAGCGAGTGCTGGTGGAAAAACAGAGCTGATGAACTTGCCTGACGCAGGGTTGCCACAAACCTTCAATTTTTTTTGTTAAGATTTTATTTTTTGACAGAGAGACAGCAAGAGAGGGAATACAAGCAGGAGGAGTGGGAAAGGGAGAAGCAGGCTTCCTGCCAAGCAGGGAGCCTGATGCGGGGCTTGATCCTCAAGACCCTGGGATCATGACCTGAGCCGAAGGCGGACGCTTAACGACTGGGCCACCCAGGCACCCCAAACCTTCAATTTGTAAAAAAACAAAAACAAAAAATGCAGTATCTGCAAAGTGCAACAGACCGAGGTCTGCCTGCAACCTCACTCTCATAAAACTTCCCTGAGCCCGTTTTAATAGGATCACTTAGCTCTGGCTTCCTTAAGAAGAAAAGAGGTGAACTAAAAGATATTGGCTAGCAAGTGAAATAAGCCAGAGAGAAAAAGGCAAATACTGGACAATTCCACTTATACATGAGGGACTTAGAACAGGCAAATTCATAGAGACCAGGGGCTGGGGGAGGGAGAATGGGGAGCTGTTGCCTAGAGCGGACAGACTTTCAGTTTGAGATGATGAAAAATTCTGGAAATGGACAGTGCTAACGGTCACAAACACTGTGAATGTCCTTAATGCTGCCACTGAACTGTGTACTTAAAAATGATTAAAATAGTAAACTTTATGTTATGTATATTTTATCACAATAAAAAAAAAGCCAAGAAAAAATTACTTACCTGCGAAAGGAATTCCTCTGAATCGGGTATCCCTGAACATCCTTAAAATACATACTAGCCCCCTTTCCCATCCCACCTGCATTTGGGGGCCCCTGAGCCAAACGAGAGTAATGTTGAATCCTGTTCATTTATCAGCATGACCCTCCTGACCTTCCTGTTTCCTGTCTTTGCAAATTATCTCTCTGAACACTCAGTGGAGTCCTAAAATGCTTCTTAGGAGCATGGCACCCACATGTCCCACTATTCGGTCCTGGTCTTTTCTTGCAAGTGATTACCCCCAAAACAAGAAAGATACTACCCCAAGATTTCATTATCATAATGCCCATAATATCTTCTTCATAAGAGGGAGGGATACAAGCTATATAATACCTTCTTTATAATACCTTCCTTATACCTATTGAGTAATAGTGAGACAGAATAATTGTTAGGACTTACACCGAGAAGAACAGCAGTAATTCACCCGGCAGGTTGGTGACCTCAGAGAATTTTCTCTCAAAGCAGAGAAACATTTTTCCTCAGGCAACCCTTTCTCTCAGATATTCCGGAATGTAAATACTGTTGGTGAGTTGCTCACCCTTTGTGTTTAATTTCCTTGATGACTGAATGTGTTGAATTTACTTTGTTCTACAATTTTAAAATTTTAGGACCAACCTGTACCAGTGTGTGACCAGTCTGCAAAGCTGGTCTGCTCACGTACTACATTGTGAGAACACGACTGAGAACACCAGGACGTTAAAATACAAATGTGGATAGCTGGGTCTAGAGCAGGTCTTTTCAGACTACAGTTTGCAGCCCATCATTGGGTCCTGAAATAATTTCAGTGGGCTGTGATCAGTCTTAGAAACAACAAAAAGAACAGACTAGAAGAGAGTGTGCTGCATTCTGTTCCAGTCGTAAATAATGATCTGTGGGCCTGTGTGTGGCACACGCGTTGGGTCTGAACGTGAACGGCATTGCTCATTAGGGCCTGCAGTAAAAAGGGTCTGAAGTCAATGATTTGGACCAAAGAACTGGAGGCCGGAGGCAGACAGACAGTAATGGTCCAGTTGGAATTCTGGTATGTTCCATGTTTTCCTGGGATGTTGGCTTTCATTCCCAAGTGACTAGAGGGACCTTAAAAGAGACGGTGAGAAAGAATTCCCTGAAGGAAGCCTCGTGTATGAAACCTGTCTCTTTGGACAGCACGTTTGTTGGAAGCTCCCGAATGTGTCTTGGAGGAAGAGTGGCTCCTGGGTGGGCCTCGGCGGTGGGAGCGGTCATGCGGGGCCCACTTCACAGCTGGCTCTGAAGCTTTTCACTTCTGTCCGCTTACTAGCAGAGAATAAAAATGCAGTGCTCACGCTGAAGAGTTCTTTCACATTTTCAGAGTTGTGGTTTAAGCACTTTTGACCCCAGGGAGGTTATAGAATCACAGAATTTTAGACCTGGAGTCACCTTAGAGATGGAGTTCATCTTCTTTTGAATCTTTTTTTTTTTTTTTTTTTTTTGCTAAGCCTCACACCCAACGTGGGGCTTGGACTCACGACGCTGAGATCAAGAACCGCGTGCTCTACCGACTGAACTGGCCAGGCGCCCCTTCTTTTGCATTTTAAGAGCTAAAGGGACCGAGGCCAAGGCTGACCTCTGCATTCAGGGTGGGCAGTGAAGCGCGTGGAGGAGGGGAAGACATACAGAGCGGGGAGTGGAGGCACAAAGAGACACAGTGAGAAGGCTTTGTGGTTTCCTCAGTCACTGCAGTAGAAAAATAAACGTGTTTAAGGTTTTTTTTTTCCAACTCAAAGAAAAGGCCTTCTGCCCTTTTGCTTTCTTGCGGCCTCATCCCTGCACTGAGAACGTGTAATGAGTTGCTGGCTTCTCTCTGCCGCTAGAGCATCCTGTGGCTCCTAGGGGAAGCCTAAGGGGCCCTGCAGTGCCGGGGACCCCCCACACCCCCCCAACGTTCAGCTGCAGAGCGTGAACCAGCTGGATGGGGAAGGCAGTTGGAATGGGTCAGGAAAAATGATAAGCAACGCCAGCTCTAGCCAGATACATACAGTGGGTGAATAAATGTTCCGGAGAGAAAGATCAAATTCATCCATGCCACTGGAATGCCCAGAACTAAAGGACAGCTGAATTCAATTTTGACAGGGACCAATGATGACAACTCAGCCGGGTACCCTGCTCGCCATGGAGGTAGGTGCGGGCCCCTGCTATCTCTCCTAACAAGGGTTTTTTGGTTGCTTGTTTTTAAATCATCTGATGTGCTGTTGCAGCAGGAGCCAAATGTTCCCGCACCTGGCTGTCATTAGCACCTCGCTGGCAGGCGCATATGGAGCGCAGGGTGCTCAGGACAACAGGTGGGCAGTGTTTGAGGAGTGGCTCATTCATTCCTCTTGCTCACCAGCCCACATCAGTATGCTGGGAGAAAAAAAAAAACAACAACTTCTCTCTCTTGAAACACTAGAAGGAAAGGTCGAATTCTGCAGAGTGCAGTTAGTGACAACTTTGTCCCCAAAATAAATGGTAGAGGAGAGAGGAATTATTTTGAGTATAGCTTGTGTTTTTCTAGGTCTCTGCTGCAAGTGCTAATGAAATTTTATTCCCAGGCACATGAAGGCTAGAGGAGCCTTCCACGGGGGGTGGAGGGGTGGGCACTGCTAGGATGGGTGGTGTCTTAGGAATATGCAAAGAACAGGGTTTGGTTTGGGCAACAATGAGGATGACTTTTCAAGTAAGCTTGCCATACAGCCTTCCTGAGCATCT